CCGCGAAGTCCTCCCTGTTCATCGCCTCGATCAGCTAGCTCCGCGAGCTGCGTGAGTATGTCTTTCGTCTCGCCGCCAATCTGGTCGCTCTTGGCCAGCTCCAGGAAGAACTCTGCTCCCGTGTGGAGGTGCGGGGATCCCATCTCCTTGCTGCCCTTGGTCTTGACCTCCTCTGCGTAGTTGATCCCTCCCTCGGCCGCGGCCTCCGCTGGTTTGTTTTCGCCCTCTGCCAGGAAGAAGACCCATGGGCTGCCTGATACCAGTCGTAGCATCTGGGCGTTGTTGGGCGACATCTTCTGCAGTAGCATGGTTTCCTCGTGCGTGGCGCCCTCGCCTGAGCCAGGCTTGCTGCCAGCACTTTTCTTCGGGCCTCCACGTGCTTCTTTCTTTCGTGCTGGCGCTGTTTCTTCCGCTGCTGCCTCCATCGTGCCCGATCGTTGCCGTGCTCTCGCGCCGCTGCCTGCTCTCCACGCCATGACTCTCTGATGGGCCGAGCGCGTGTATGGCTACGTGTAGTAGGTGTTCGCGAATCTCGGGGTCCTCTTGGCCGCAGACCCCGCACGTGTAAAAGCTCTTCTCTTCTGGCTTGAAATCAAAAGAGGTGGCTCTGGCGGGGCAGCGAAGGGGGTCGGAGCGGGACACGGTGATCACGCGCCGTAGACAAGACGCTCTGCTCGCGAAACACGTTCTGCACCACGGGCATACGTTCGCGCCCACAACCATTGAGTGCAAGTTGCGCATGTTGTGTGTGTGCGTGATGTGTGCCGTGAGCGCCTTCATCGTGGTGAACGACATGCCGCATCCTCGTCCTTCGCCCTCCCCCCAGCTCGTGCGTGCACACGTACTCGTCTACGATGCTGCTATTGCTGCTGCTGCCCCCCTCGCGCTGGTGCTCTGTGATGTGCGGGGGGCATCGTCTCGTCGAGCGTTGTGATTCCAATCTTCAGTAAACAACTGGCCAACTTCTTGGAGCCCTCCATGCTAAGGAAGTCCCTCTTGGTGCCCACTGAGATCTTGGCGGAGCTAGCTCCGAGGTAAGGGTCTTTGAACACCTGCAGCACATTTGCCCTGTCGGTCCAACTCATGTCGAAGCGGGGGTCGGCGTTCGCTAAGGCTTCTAGATCTTCCCGAACCTGGAATGCCCACGGTGTAGAGTGCCTCGTAAGGTGTCCCTCTGGAGTGCACCTGGAAACCGCGAGCAGCCTATCCATTGCCAAGGTCCCAAAGGTAGCCGTAAGGGTTTGCCTATGATTGCCACGCTCCATTGCTACTTGCTGCCACCATCGGAGTCGCTGCGCTCGGAGCCTTGTGGCGGTACGGCTAATGTTCCAATGCTCGAAAACTTCACTGTTGCTCAATGTCCGAATGCGCCCGTCGGACTCTCTTTTTGCTTTTCCGTGCATCAGGCAACGCAGCATCTTCACCAGCACTGCGTCCAGCTGGCTGGTAAAGGACGCAAGCAACACAAACGCCGCCAGGCCAAGGATGGCGGCGCTGCGTACAAAGCACAGGAAGAGGGTGTGCAGCAGTCGGTGATGGAGGGGCTGGTGCCAAACGTCTCCCAGCGATCTCCATGCGGCCTTGGCTCCTTTGATGCGCGCCTTCAGCTCGGTCCCCAAAACTCCGTCGAAGCCCATGATCGGCCCCGGGGTTCTGGCTTCTCGGAGAACCTCTCCCTGATGTTTTCTGTCCGGCTAGTTCTCGTGCCGCTTCAAACGATCCGTGGCCATAAACACTGTTAAGATGGTTTGTCTTGTCCTTGTTGAGGACGTGGCCGTGTTTGGCGATGTGCTCCTGAAATCCCTGGGCGGCGTGGTTGAGCTGCTGTGTGATGTAGCGTGCTTGTGGTGCATATGCATGAGTGTGTAGCCGTGATACGTCATTAACAAAAAGCCCCATGCCAACGTCGACTTCAGCTCGGGTAATGGGGCGCCGACCTCGGGTCCAAGTATAGCTAACATCTGCGGCGGCGAGGCTGTCGTTCCAGTCCTTCACCGTGGGCGAGTGCATGTCCACAAAATCGCCTGCCGCCAGTGAGTGGCCCATGGTCGTGCCGCGCTCTGGATGAAAATCGGCTGCGCCGTCAATGGCCTCAACATGTATGGTTGCTTGCAATGCTGCTTGGCCTGCTAGATGAAGGTCTTCTGATCTGTATGTGCTGCTGCGTAGGTCTGTGATGCTGCTCTTATGCGCGCGTGCGAATGCATTCGTGGCGTCGTAGTTGCTGATAGTGTGCCCGAGCTTTGCTTGCCTGCGTCTCCAACTTGCTGCTGCTAAGCTAAGAATGCATCCTTCTCGTCTCCGTCCTCTCAGCCCTCTGCGCGCCACACCTGGTGGGCATGGCCTTCTGGAAGTCCTCTGGAGGTGCCCGAAGTAATTCATTACAAACGCATCGAAGCAGTGGAGGATCATTTGTCCCCTGATGCCCTGCTTCAGGTTGTTCTTGCTCTGAGAGAATGCCTGGCTACGTATGCTGCTGAGGGGGGCCGAGCCTGCGAGTCTAATGGGGGCCAGCATGTCGGTGTATCTTCTTGAAAACGTTTCGGGCACAAGCTTTCGGCGGTTGTCGTTTCGGTATCTCTTCGGGCCGATGCACATGCACAGGGCCTCTGCGAGTGCTCCCCATGATGGTCCTGCACGTCGTGTTGGGTCTCGTTTTAGATACCTCACTTGGCCTGCTCGACCCTGCATAATTCTATCGATGATGTCGGGCGAGCCGTAGAGGTGGAGGAGGAACGCTCGGTCTGCTAGCCCTTCGTCCCATTTTACTCGCTCACACTGCATGCCGCCGTCTTCTGCTGCCTGCGCGAGCCCCTCCTCCCACTGCTGCGCCGTCATGCCTTCACGGGGGGCGAAGATGCATCTCTTCTTCGGTCCACGGCCTGTGTTGGGAAGTCGCACTCGCAGTCGGTGAGCTTCGGCGAGCCTCCTTTTCGTCCACGCCGTGTTAATCTCCTGCACTATGCCCGCTGTTGTCTTCGCACTTTGCTCTCTTCTGACGTGTTGAAGCTGTCTTGATAATTGGCGCAGTCTGGCTTCGATGCGGTCGAACTCTGTTGACCCCTCGCCGTCGAACGCCTTGGGGCCCGTCTGGTGTACTGCTTCTCTTAGGCGCCCTCTTTCAACAACGCAATCCGTTATTGTCTCATTTGTTCGTACCCTGCCGTGTCATGCGCAACTTTGGGGAAGGTATCTGCCATGGCCTGCCGGATACATGCTGATGACCTATCCCAACATCCCTGCACGTCACCCTGGTCCCACTTGCTGCGCCACTCTTCTGCACTGATGCTGTCGGCGCGCTGCTCAACTTTTTGTAGAAACTCCACCCGTCGTACGCCATCGCTGTATGCACCCAGCATGCTCTCTGTTCGCGGGTGCCGTCAGCTTGGAGATGTGGGCACGAGTGACATGGATGTCCATGTTCACATATACCGGGACGTGGTCATGCAAATGTGTGCTGATATGCCTTTTGTAACCGTCGCGCAAGTCACAGCAATGGGAGTAGTTGCCGAGTGCGCCCGAGGCTCTCGACAGGCACCGCAATGTGGTCTATATTGCTCTTGTGCGTGCCTTTGTAACATGTGGGTCCCGTGAACCAAAATGTGTCGGCCATGGCCAAGTGGCTGCCTTGAAGGAAGTCCCGCACCTGCGTGCTAGTCTTGCTCTCGATCGCGGGCTCTTTTAGTCCAACGCTTTCCGACTCGGTCTTGAATATTCGCCCAGTGCGGTCTGTTTGCCATCCAAAGCCACAGTTGTAGTCGCCTGCAATGATCGGCATGCAAGAGCATCCAAGTTTATCACGTTCTCTCTCGATCCACTCCAAGATACATGTTGTTGTTGCCCTCAACGTTGTGACTGCTAGCCCCTTCGGGGGATGCAAATAGGGAAAATCGCCCGGCTAGTACTGCCAAGGTTGAACTGTGCCATCGCAACCCGCCCTGTGATACCCAAGTGCGGCGGTGGCGTGGCAACTCTCACCAACGTTCCTCGAATTTTTCCTTATATAAAACTCAATCCACATGAGGTGTTTGTGGTCCTCGAGCGTCGTCATCCGAAGTTCACTGCTTGATGATGCGGGAGCTGGCATTTGGTCATGTCCGCTTGTCTGGCTGCCCGTCCCGTGCCGATGGCGACGAAGAAACCAACGCTTTCCACCTAAATAGAAATCTCTTCCGGTCGAGTAAAACCTGCCCATTGAACAGTGTGATATATCAACTTCATTAATCGGATGTGTGGGGGGAGTGTGGTTGTTTTGCTGCTTTCGCTGCCGCCCGAGTGGCACAGTCCCTCTGCTCTGCCCTGGCTTCCTGCACACAGAGATGTGGTGTGCGGGGCTGGCCTTGGGTGGAGCTCGCGGGCGCTTGTGCCTGGGCGGCTCCTGGAGGAGGAGGAGGAGGAGAAGGAGGAGGAGGGGGAGGAGGAGGAGGAGGAGGAGGAGGAAGAGGGGGAGAGGGAGGAGGAGGGGGAGGGGGAGGGAAGAAAGACCTGCTGGCTTTCCAGAACGCAGCTGCGCAAGAGAGTAATGATGAATCCCAGGAAGCCTCGCATGGTTCCTGCATGGCGCGAGGGCCCCCCCCGGCACCAGAGCAGAACGGAGCCTCATGGAGGCCCTGTCTGGGCTGGTAGCCGACGACGAAAAAGCTAGACTGTACTCTGAAAAGGTTCCTCCGAAACCAAACGACTTTCAACGCCCGCCGTCCTGATGCTCACAGCAAGCACTGCACTGGCCGACTGGCGAGGAGGAGGAGGAGGAGGAGGAGGAGGAGGAGGAGGAGGAGGAGGAACCTCCGCCCTCATGGCGAGGGTATTCACGGGGATACCCACGACTGACTCCGAGCGACACCTTCAAGAGCGCCGCCAGTGCCACGCTCGCAGCGTGCCGCGCGCAGAGTTCTGACACAAATCCGCCCCTTGCGGCCCTGTGTATTGCCATCGTTGTTATGGTATGTGCGGGCACGCATGAATGTGTAGAGATATATAGATATATAGATAGCTGTCACAGGATATTCTCCCGTTTGTTACGCCTTTTTGTCGCGTGCTTTCTCGCAGACAGGCTGTTGTTTCCTCGGAGGAAAACCGAGTCGCCGAGGCGCTGCGCCGAGGCACGACACGTCTACTTGAGCAGCGCGGCGCCAGGCGGGCTTGGGGGAGGGACCCGACGACAGGGGAGAGCGGGTGAAACTGGAGGCGGGAGGCAGGAACCTCAGCGCTAGGACAGCCTGAATGTCCGCAGCTTGCCTCTCAGGTCGCCGGACCCAGGCTGCGCCGCGGCCTTCGATGCTTCTTTGTAGGTGTCCTTGCTCTCCTTCTTCATCTTGCGGCAGATCCTCCGCAGCTCCTTTACGCCAGCTTTCCGCTCCCTCCTCTCCTCCGCGGTTTCGTTGCGGGGCCGGGTGGTGCTGACGTCTGGCAAGTCTACGATGTCCTCCTCCTCGCCCTCGTCGCTGCCCTCTGCGGTGTCGGTTGCTTCCTTCACCGGCTTAAGAGGGTTGACGGGATTTCTGGCCACCTTGATAGTGGCGATCCTGCCTGGCCTGTTGGACAGGTTGCTGAGGATGCTTAGCACCGACTCGCAGTCCCAGGTCCTAGACTCATCGGGGCTCTCGCTGCCGAGGGAGGTCTCATCCTCGTCTGCCTCCTGTCCCAAATAGTGTTTCTCTATTATCGCCCTCGTTTCCGCGAGGGTGCGGATGCCGTCGTCTTTCTCGTGCTTGCCCTTAATGGGCTCGTGCGGCTCGTTGATCGATATCAGCCTCTCCTGCTCGTCTGCCTTGCCCTGGATGTACTCATCCAGGATCTCCTCGTGCTCCCCTAAGTCCACAGGGCCGTCCAGGTCGGCCCCCTCGCACTCGCCTATCTCGTCGTCGGCGTACTCCCGGTCGAGGAACTCGCTGAACTCGGCGTCGTTCATAGCGGGCGCGCCGGGGCGGCGATCCGCGCACTGGCTGCCCGCCTCGCGAGCGAGGAACGACTCGAAATCCTCCCCGCCTGGACCGCCGAGGTCGCCTCTCATGGCCGCGTACTGGGCCTTGAACGCCTCGAGGTCGGGCATGTCCTTGTAATCCTTGGCTGTGGGCCCCCACAGCACCTCGTCCAGGTCGCACATGGCGCCCGACGGCAGCAGGTTCGTCACCTCCTCCTCGTCCAGCTCCTCGTACTCGTCGGCGTTTTCCAGCGCCTCCAACACCTCGCGCTCCTCATCCGTGACGGCCTTCTGGATGGCAATCTCCTTTGCGTCGGGGAAGAGCGCCTTCTCGCCCTTCTTCGGCTTCGGCGCCGCCATCACAACACCGGCAACCCCGCCGCCCTGGCCTGCGCCGCTGACGCGCTTCAGGTGCTGGTCGTAGTTGTCCGCCACCGTGCTCCCCTGGCACGCAGTTGGAGAACTTGGACGCCCGAGTTATCCGGGGTAACTCGGGTCCGGGGTAACTCGGGTTTGGGTTCCCGAAAAAGGAACCCGAGTTATCCCTGACCCGAGTTACCCCTGATGATTCGGGGCTCTGGACGCCCGAAATATCCGGGGTAACTCGGGTCCGGGGTAACTCGGGTTCGGATTCCCGAAAAACGAACCCGAGTTATCCCTGACCCGAGTTATCCCTGATGATTCGGGGCTCTGAAGAACTGCAGTGCTTCTGTGCTGTCTGACCGGGTTCTGTAGCGCCCCAGGCCCTCCTGCTGGCACACAGGTCGCGGACGTCACTTCTGGAGGCTCCCTGCGCGCCCGGGAGGCTCGAAGGCCTCCACCGGGCATCGCTCGGACGTCCATTCGCTGTGTTTTTTTTCGGTTTCGTGCGTGGTTTTTGTCGCCAAATCATCGCCAAGGTTGGCGAAGACTGCCGTCAAAGACCCCACGGGGCGCTCCAACAGCCGCAAGAGGCGCCCACGGAACTGCAAGACGCCTCGCAGAAAACCCTTGAAAGGCCAACAAATCCCAACAGCTCATGGTTTAGGGGAGTTCCTCTTCCTACCCACCTTCTTCTTCTTCTTCTTCTTCTTCTTCTTCATCGGGGAGCCTTTTGCCCAACAGTGGGTCCAACCTTGGCCAACTCGACCAAATCTTGGCCAACTTGACCAAATCACGCCGGCAGCCCCCAGACTTGACCCAATCCCGGCCTGCTTTACATAATTACTCCAACGGATGGACCCCACATGAAAACCTAATTTTGAATGGAACATGTACACTATCAGAATGACAGAATGATGCTGTTCCTGCTGGCGCTGCTGCTGCTCCACCTCCACCTCCACCTCCACCTCCTCCTCCTCCTCCTCCTCCTCCTCCTCCTCCTCCCTCCCCCTCTCGTCCTCCTCCCACTTCTGTCCTCCTCCATCCTCCTCCTCCTCCTCCCTCCTCCTCTCCTCCTTCCCTCATCCCACTCCTCCTCCTCCCCCTCTCTCTCCTCCTCCTCTCCTCCTCCTCCCCTCCTTCCCCCCCCTCCTCCTCCTCCACCCCTCTTCCCCTCTCCTCTCTTCGTCTCCTCTCTCTTCCTCTCCACTCCTCGACAAACGTCCATTTCAACCATCTCCTCCTGAAGGCACCGCGGTTGAAATCCCCCTCCCCCTTCTCCTCCTCCTTCCTCCTCCTCCTCCTCCGCCTCCTCCTCCTCCTCCTCCACCTGCTCGCATGGAATGCCCCTGAAGGTCATTCCGTGCGAGCGGGCTCGCTGATCCCGATAGCCGTTGGAATTCCAACTTTTAGGTGGGACCCCCTAGGGGCCACAAGGGAGGTCCCTTCCGCGCGAACGGGCTCGCATGGAATGCCCCTGAGGGTCATTCCGTGCGAGCGGGCTCGCTGATTCCGATAGCCGTTGGAATTCCAACTTTTAGGTGGGACCCCCTATGGGACCACAAGGAAGGTCCCTTCCGCGCGAACGGGCTCGCATGGAATGCCCCTGAAGGTCATTCCGTTCAAGCGGGCTCGTTGATTCCGATAGCCGTTGGAATTCCAACTTTTAGGTGGGACCCCTTAAGGGGCCACAGGGGAAGTCCCTTCCGCGCGAGCGGGCTCGCATGGAATGCCCCTGAAGGTCATTCCGTGCGAGCGGGCTCGCTGCTGCCGATAGCCGTTGGAATTCCAACTTTTAGGTGGTCCCCCCTAGGGGCCACAGGGGAAGTCCCTTCCGCGCGAGCGGGCTCGCATGGAATGCCCCTGAAGGTCATTCCGTGCGAGCGGGCCCGCTGATTCCGATAGCCGTTGGAATTCCAACTTTTAAATGGGACCCCCTAGGGGGCCCCAGGGGAGGTCCCTTCCGCGCGAGCGGGCTCGCATGGAATGCCCCTGAGGGTCATTCTGTGCGAGCGGGTTCGCTGATTCCGATAGTCGTTGGAATTCCAGCTTTTAGGTGGGACCCCTAGGGACCACAGAGGAGGTCCCTTCCGCGCGAGCGGGCTCGCATGGAATGCCCCTGAAGGTTATTTCGTTCGAGCGGGCTCGCTGATTTCGATAGCCGTTGGAATTCGAACTTTTAGGTGGGACCCCCTAGGGACCACAGAGGAGGTCCCTTCCGCGCGAGCGGGCTCGCATGGAATGCCCCTAAGGGTCATTCCGTTCGAGCGGGCTCGCTGATCCCGATAGCCGTTGAAATTCAAACTTTTAGGTGGTCCCCCCTAGGGGCCACAAGGGAGGTCCCTTCCGCGCGAGCGGGCTCGCATGGAATGCCCCTGAGGGTCATTCCGTTCGAGCGGGCTCGCTGATGCCGATGGCCGTTGGAATTCCCTTCCGCGCGAGCGGGCTCGCATGGAATGCCCGGGTGTGTGGTGTTTGTGTGTGTGTGTGTTGTGCGTGTGTGTTTGTGTGTGTGTTTGTGTGTGTGTGTCTGTGTGTGACTGGGTGTGGGTGTGTGTGGGTGTGGCCCGCGGCCGTCCAGAGAAAACAAGAACCCCACTTAGGATGTGGGGAACAAGATAACCCAGGCTTAAGGTGGCGAAACACTAAGTACTCAGTGGATAGACGATTTCGACGAAGATGGGATTGGACCCAGCTTGTTGAACTGGCATGAAGATCCCTTTAGACATACGACTGCGAATACCACAACAACTACAGGAACAACTACTGATAGGAACACTACTACTAGTGCTAGTACTACTACTAGTACTAGTACAACTACGACTACGACTACTACTACTACTACTACTACTACTACTACTACTACTACGACTACTACGACTACTACTACTACTACTACTTCTACTACTACTACTACTACTACTACTACAACTAGTACTACTACTTTTACGACTACTACGACGACTACGACTACGACGACTACTACCACTACCACTACTACTACTACTTCGACTACTACTACTACTACTACTACTACTACTAGTACTACTACTACTACTACTACTACTACTACTACTACGACTACGGCTACTACTACTACTACTACTACTACTAGTACTACTATTACTACTACTACTACTACTACTACTACTACTACTACTTCTTCTTTTACGACTACTACTACGACTACGACTACGACGACTACTACTACTAGTACAACTACTACCTATACGACTACCACTACTACTACTACTACTACCACTACTACTAGTACCACTACTACTACTACTACTACGACGACTACTACTACTATTGTTACGACTACCACAACCGCCCCTACTAGAACTAGAATTAGTACTAGTACTAGTACTAGTACTAGTACTACTACTACTACCACTACTACTAGTGCTACTACTACTAGTACTACTACTACTACTACTACTACTACTACTACTACTACTACTACTACTGATGCTACTACAACTTGTTTTTTTGGGGGGGGGAGACAGAAGACGGGAACGGACCGCATGATTCAATAACCACCGTCGTAACGAGAATGCCGGTTGCACTCGAAACCCGTTTTCTTCCTCACCAAGCGTGTGGAGACGGCTGCAAGAAACGACAATGCAGATACCACGTGATACGAATTCGCCCGAAAACGTATCACCCCCGTGCCTGAGAGCCGGCAGCAGTGCAGCAGTTCTGATGATACGTCTACTACAACTACTACTACTACTACTACTACTACTACTACTACTACTACTATTACGACTAGTACGACTACTACTACCACTTCTACTACTACTACGAGTACTACAAGTACTACTGCTACTACTACGACTACTACTACGATTACGACTACGACTACTACGACTACGACTACTACTAGTACTACTACGACGACTACCAGTACTACCACCACTACAACGACTACTAATACTAGTGGTACGACTACGAGTACGACTACGAGTACTACCGACTACTAGTACTACTGGGACTACGCATACGACTACTACGACTACGACGACCACGGCGACGAGTAGTACGACTACTACTACTACTACTACAGCTACGACTACTACTACTACTACTACTACAACTACTACTACTACTACTACTACTAGTACTAGTACTAATAGTACTACTACTACTACTACTACTACTACTACTACGACTACTACTACTACTCCTACTCCTACTCCTACTCCTACGACTACGACTAAAACTACTACCTACTACTCCTACTACTCCTACCACCAGTAACTACTACCAGCAATCCCAGCGCTACTACTACTTATGATACTACCACTACTACTACTACTACTACTACTACTACTACTACTACTACTAATAGTACTACTACTACTACAGCTACCACTACTACTACTACTACTACGACTACTACTACTACTACTACTACTACTACTGCTACTACAACTACTACTACTACTACTACTACTACGACGACGACTAGTACGACTACTACCACTAGTACCACAGCTTCCACCGCTGCGACAACTATCCCGAGTAGCCCTACGACTACAACGAAGACCACTACTAGTACGACTACTACTACTACTACTACTACTACTACTACTACCACTACTACTACTACTACTACTACTACTACTACTACTACTACTACTACTACTACTACTACTACTACGACTACCTCTACCACTACCACTAGTAGTACTACTACGATCAGTGCGGCTACTGGTTCTTCCCCATCTACGACTACTGCGGCTACAGCTCCTACAGCTACTACTGCTACTGCTACTCCTACTGTTGTCACTCCTATTACTACTACTACTACTACTGCTACTACTACTGCCACTACTACTACTACTAATACTACTACTACTACTACTACTACTACTACTACTACTACTACTACTAGTACCGCTACCAACACTACTACCACTACTACTACTAGTTCTACTACTACTACTACTACTACTACTACTACTACTACTACTACTACTACTACTACTACTACTACTACTACTACTACTACTACTACTACTACTACTACTACTACTACTACTACTACTACTACTACTACTACTACTACTACTACTACT